AGATAAATGATATAGTTAATAGATTATTTATTGAATTTAGTCAATAAATAAATATCAACTCTTCTATCCTATATTAATTAATATTGATAATTATTAGTCATTTTATCAATTAAATTAAATTAAATTAATATTTTTTAAAATATTATTATACAATTTTAATGATCATAACATTCTTGTTGATAGTCATAACCATACCTCATATTTTTTATTTAAATTATTCATCAACTTTAAAATAATAGTAATTAATAATAATAATAAACAATATCTCAAACTATTGACAGTAGGGTGTAGTTGAATGTCACTTACCGGGTTAGCATAAGGTTGACATCGAACATTTTTAGGCAAGTAAAAGGACGATGTTGAACTAATTATTGAAGCAAAAGGATGACATTGAACAATTCTTCAGTATGAGGACAAGAACGAACAAAATAGCAAGTAGAGGGATATGTTCATTGGCTTAAAACCTTTATTATTACTGATATAGAGAAACAGTTTTTCCGTAAAATTCAAACGGCAAAATTCGTTCTTGAACTTTCAAAACTTTCACCAGCAGCTGGCGATTCGAGAAATGGCATTTGGCACCCAATATATGACCCATGAGACACGCTGTGTTTTCGTCATCATTCTGATTTTGCACTGATTCAAAAGCGATGGTAAAAAACCGTGTATAACTGGAGTTCTGGTTATGAGTTATGACTTGACTTTTTCCAACCTCAGTCATCACTTTTATGCTCTTGGGGCATTGGGAAATGGTAATATCACGCTGTTTGTAACTTTTTCCATTTCTTGGTTGTTAAAAACATTGACAGTCCGGAAAATTAGGATGTTTTGGAGCTTAAAATGTACATTACAGTTATCAATTGAGTAGATTTTAGGGGTAAGATCCATTCACAAATGGTTATGATAGATGTCTTGAGTATCTGAACGTTTTTATTTTCATATTTTTAAAAAAAATTTATTTATTTTTTGGTGAAAAAAAATATTTTTTTTGATAGAAAGTCAAATTGGTTTTTGAACTTTCAAAATTTTTAAGATTCATCTTTTAGTTTTTTTTTTTTGGTGTGCTATTCTCACCATAAAAAAGTATTAAGATCATCAAAATTTTAATTTTTTAAATAACATTTGAAAATATCATTTTGTTAATTAATTTTAATATTATAATAAATAAATATTAATTCTTTTATCAGTTATTAATTAATATTTATAATTATTAATTATTTTATCAATTAAGTTAAATAAAATTAATATTTTTAAAGATAATATTCTACAATTTTGATAGCATAACATTCTTGTTAGTAGTCATAACAAACTTCACATTTTTTATTTAAATTATTCTTCAACTTAAAAATAATAGTAATAACAATAATAAACAATGTCTAAAACTATTTCACGGTATGGTGTAGCTGATTGTCACTTACCGGATTAGCATCAGGTTGACATTGAACATTTTTAGTCGGGTAAAAGGACGATGTTGAACTAATTATTGAAGTAAAAGGATGATATTGAACAATTCCTCAGTATAAGGACAAGAAAAAACAAAACAGCAAAGTAGAGGGATATGTTCATTGGTTTAAACTTTAAACCCTTTATTATTACTGATATAGAGACAGTTTTTCCGTAAAATTTAAAGGGCAAAATTTGTTCTTGAACTTTCAAAACTTTCACCTGCAGCAAGCAAATCCAAGGAATCCTTCACCGCAGCAGCAAAAGTCTCCAAGTCCGCCATTGCCTGCCCTAACCTACTACAATAATTATAAATCTCAAAATCGCCTAGCCTTTTTGCTAGAAACCAGGTAGGAAAGAGGTGAGAAGACTGGTGAAATTCCAACACTATAATACGAGGGGCTAGTTTCCCACACCGACCTAGAGGGTGTTTGGAAAGCTTAAAAAGCAAGTTACTTTAATTAAATTCTTTTCTTATAAATTAAAATTGTTAGATAAAAATTCAAAAATTAATTTTAAAAGTAACTTCTTAACAAGTTTTGAGAAATGTTAGATGTCTAACTTTTTTTAAAACTTGCTAAAAAGTTACATTAAAAGCTAATTTTCAAATTTACCTCCAACAAATTTTTGAAATTTGCTTAAAACAAACTTGCTTTTTAAGTGAAATACCCTCTAAACCCTAGCCGGCGTTAGAGTTGAAACTCAAGAATTGGGTCTTCTATCTTAAGATACTTTTTATTCTAAAAGTGTTTGGGGCCCAATATGGGCTCGGATCAACCATGGGCCTAGTGGTGGAGCCAGGATTTTGAGATGAGGAAAGGTCAAGTTTGTGGATACGAAAATCAAACTTATGTCTAGAGTATTATATTCCTTCTATTTTGTTTTAATTGTGTTAATTTGACTTTTATATAAAGTTTGTCTTGATGATTTTATATAATAAATAGATGATAACTGAAAATTAACTTTTTTTTTCCTCCTAAACCTAGTGCTTGTTGAAGATTTTCACTTAGATCAAAAATTTTTTTAGTTATTGTTCATTTGTTATATAATTATAATCAGGTTAATTTACATAGAGTTAATGGAGCATGATAACTAAAAAAGACAAAAGGGAGTAACACAGTTATAAAGTTGTAAACTTGTATTTAATATCAAACTTGATCATGCTCAATGTGAAATATATTGTAATTTGAAAATTTTTGAAATTAATGAATAATTATCTAGTTATATTAGTGGTAAAAAAGTATAGAATAAAATACATATGAAAAATGTAATAAATTTTAAGAAATATAAAAAATTCATATAGAGAATGACAAAATAAAATAAACAAATTTGGCTCAATAAAAAAATTATAAGTTAAAGGTGAAGTTTTACTATTTGATCTAAAAAAAATAGATATTGGTGACTAAAATAAATATTTTAGATTAATTTTAGGCACCACAAAGGTGATGATCAAAGTAGAAGGAGGGGTCATAGGGTGGACAAATTTAAAAATTTAGAGATTTTTTTGTCAATTCTTTGGTAAAAAAATATTAGAGATTAAAAATCAATTTTTATGTTTAATAGATTTGTTACTAATTTTTACGCAACATTATATTTTGAATTTAATGGCAAGATTTATAAAAAGACTAATGACAATTATTTTCATAAATATTAAGAGTAATTAAGTGAATAAAATAAAAGTCAAGGATGAAATTCATAGAATACAAAATTTGAGGACTAATCCAAAATTTAAGGACTAATTTTAGAACTTTTCAAAAACCAAGGGGCCATCGCCCTCCCTAGTCTCTTCATAGCTTCGCCTCTGAACTGGGCCTCTTACCTAGCATTACATAAAGGTGAGACTTTTACAACATGCTTAGACTAGAAAACATGTATTCAGTGACAATTCTACGTGGCATGTACTAGGTTTTGGCTCAACATTTGCGTATTCCCAGCCAAAATGATCAAATGTAAAATTTCAAGTAGTTTCTTTCTTATAGAAATTGATATATTAACTTTTTACTGTAAATTTTTTTTTTCTTAAAGGGTCAGCAATTAATTTTTGGGTTAAGGTGAGGGGAGAGGGGAAAAGGGACAAGAAGAGCTCAAAACAGATGGTTAGACACATGAAGCCACTGCTCTAAAGAGAGCTATCCAATTGCACTTAATTTTTCACCAAATCTTTATATTTTCTATAAAAATTAAAATTGTCAAGAAATCATAAAAATCATGGAAAAAAAAAGCGAAATGAAAAAATTGTTTTTAAATGAAAATCTCTAATTTATTTTATTTTATCTAGTCTCAGGGCTTATATGTGAGAAAATGAAATGCAAGGGGAAGAAAAGAATAGAGAAGACACCAAAAAGGGACTCAATTGATGAACATGGACAAGAGATGAACCAATTGGGCAAAAACTCAAAACCATGAAGGCTGAAACCCAATCCAGCAAATTTACAAACCCATCTCAAACCAAACAAAACCCAAAGAAAAAGCCAGCAAACCTAAAACTTAAACCGAAAGTCCGAAACCCAATTGTTTGCCTTGTGGGTCTTAACCCATTTGTTGTCTGAAAATACAACACCATTGCCTCCCTCGATCCTCACGGCTGCACAGCCCCTGTTTCTCTGAAAAACTGGCGGTTTTTGTTCCAAAACAAGGTTAGGTGTAGCCAAGTTTAAGATTCTAGAACTTGGATTCCTGAAGTTGTAGATGCAGAATCAGTCATTTGTAATCGTTTGGTTCATGGAAAATCTTTTGCAGAAAATATTTTCTGAATTTTCTGGTGTTTGGATGTCATTTAGAAAATTGGTCAAAATGGAAAATAACTTTTATCAACAGAAAAAAAGTAAGAACGGTCTTTTGGAAACAAATAAATTATATAATTGAGACTATATAATTTAAATTATTAGATAAAAATAGATATTATTTAAAATTTTTTTAATTTAATAGTTTCTATTTTGTTGTCCAAACCATAAACAGAGCACTCTTCCGAAAAATCACTTCAATAACTCATGATAACTTTGCTCACGAGGAAACAAAGGGTTGATTTTAGGGGAAAATGTCAAGTGAAGGAGGATGACAAGGAAATAGCAATATGACCGAAAAGTAAACAAAAAGGTGCATAGGGTCCCCACTGGATCAGGATGGGTGAAAGAAGATTAAAGAGCTTTTTTTTTTTTTTTTCTTTTAACATGGGAAATTTGGGGAAGGAGGATTAATTTTAAAAAAATTAAAATTAAGATTTTAGACTTGATAAAATTATATCTTATTTAACGCAGTTAATATCGTAAGTGCAAATATTAAGATTAAATAACTAAGTTAATAGTTGATTGTTAGGCCCATAACGGTCAAAATAAACAACAGCTCAAGCGTTTAGTGGGGAAGGAATTGTCAAAATTATGAAAATCTACATAAGCTTTTAAGTGTTTATAATATAAATCTCAAAATTATTCAAATTAAAAGTTAAAAAAATTGAGTCTCATACTATATTAATATTTAAGTGTAAAGAAATTATCACACAAATATAAAAAAATAAATAATTATTTAATTTATATGATTGCATATGATTTAACAGAAAGGCTAATTTGCTCAAATCCAAGCATTTAGGATTTGCATGCCATTTTTTTTTTTTGTTTTTTTAAGACCAATGTGAGAAAATAGGAAAAACCTAGGAGTTTGACATTAGGGGCCTATTTGGTTACCATTACCCAAAAAGAGAATCCGAGTAGCCGACCAAAATGGAAAGAAAGATAATGCATTATTTTTGTAATATATTTTTTATATTTTAAAATAATTGTTATTTTTTAATTTTTAAAATAGATAAATATTTTTTTTACTTTATTCTTATTATTATTCATTCACTTTAATTAATTATCGAAACACAAAAAATCTCTTTTTATCTTTTACTTCTTTATTAAGAGTATTATAGATAAATATACTTATTATTTTAAAATCTTTAATTTAAAGAAAAAATAAAAAACGATAATTATTTTAGAATGAAAGAAGTAGTCCATTACCTTGAGAAATAAGTGATACACCAATATAATCCATTATTTCTTTTTTGTAAGCAATTATATCCACTTAAAAAAAAAGGACCTTCGCAAAAAAAAAAAAAAAAAAAAAAACATTCCGAGAAGGTATTTCCTATTTTATTTTGATTTCCTATGGAATTTCAATATTTAATTTTATTTTGAAGAGATTATTAATTCTTTTTAAACTTGAAAACTTTAAAAGTTATACTCATAAATCTTCATATAAGATTAGTCATTCTCCTTATATATGCAATTTATTTAGAATATAATTGATTAGATGGATATGTTTTAAGGGTTAATACTTTGTTATAATATTGTCCATTACATATATTATCATTCTCAAATAACTTAGAAAAATAAACACTTTTATTCTTATCATTGATCTTTAAAATCATATCTTTTGATTGTTTGTTTAGTATATGAAACATACAAATGAGTAACAAATATAAAATCAAAGTTTTTAACACTCAAGCAATTTAATTAAGTGATTTGTGAAGAATTGTTCATCTTAATATTATTTTGGTTAAGCCCTCAATTTAATTTGTTAATAATTATATGAACCTTACAAAATTGACACTTAAACTAAAAAATTCTTGATTTAGATCTTAAAATTTTCAGATTTGGCTCCCTCAATAAATTTTTGCTGAGGTGGTTGACAATTTTTTTGAAAATAGGTAATGGAGAGGTGGCTCGATAATTGATAGAAGAAAATGATATCTCCAAAAATATTTAACACATAGCACCAATAACATCAGTAAATGAATGGGATAGCAGAAAAAACCTTTGGTACATGATACAACGAATATAATTATCTTACTCAGAAAATTACAATTTTACCCTATCTTCATCCTCCACCTCTTTTCATCACCCTTCTCTCTCTCTTTTCCTTCTGTGCAAGTTACAATTGATCAACAAGATCAAAGCCAAATTGAGCACTAAGAACAACATTGCAAGATATTTCAACGAATTAAAATTTTA